TCGATTAACGGATGCTAAGTGCCAACATAGTCGCTCTAAAACTCTGGGCGCCAAACCGTGTATTCACGAAAGTTGTACCCTATATGGCGCCGCCCATAAGACACTTTAGTTTTCTTTTTTGCAGAAATATTCTCATCTACTTCCTAACGTTTCATGGCACTCGGATAAACCGCATCCGAGTTTTATTTTTTATATACCGTGTATAGAGAAAAAAAATTGCTCCCCCGGGGTTGCCGCCCTTGCAATATTAAACAATATTTTTTGCAGAACCCCACCATTGAGTGATCTAATCATCCCCCCAAAGTTTCACGGTACACGGATGAACGGTGTGAAACCGAAATTTTATAAAACGTATATAGAGAAAAATCGCAGCCTCCCGTGGTGCCGCCCTTGCTAAATTAAAAAAAAAGGATTTTTTTTTACAGAACCCTTCCCTGAATTGTTCTAATCAACTCCCCCAAAGTCTCATGGCTATCGGATAACGGTGTCACACCAAAATCGACTTTTCTTTTTATATACCGTATATAGAGAAAAATCGCACCCTCCTGTGGCGCCGCCCTTGCGAAATTAAAAATGATTTTTTACAGAACCCTTCCCTAGAGTTTTATAATGAACTCCCCAAAGTTTCATGCCTATCGGATAAACGGTGTCACTGCAATTCACTTTTATTATTTTTATATACCGTAAATAGAAAAAAAATCTGACCCTCCCGTGGCGCCGCCCTTGAGTAATTAATTTTTTTTTACAGAACCCTTCCCTAGAGTGGTATAATGAACTCCCTAAAGTCTCATGACTATCGGATGAACGATGCTAAACTAAAATCGACTTTCATTTTTATATACCGTATATAGAAAAAAAAGCAAATCGCGCCCTGTCGGGGCGCCACCCCTTGCGAATTTGAAATATTTTTTTTTTCGCAGAAACCTCCCCAGGAATATTGTCAACAACTTCCTAAAGTTTCATGCCTATCGGATGAACAGTGTCACTGCAATTCACTTTTATTATTTTTATATACCGTATATAGAGAAAAATCGGAACCTCCCGTGGCGCCGCCCTTGCGAAATTAAAAATGATTTTTTTACAGAACCCTTCCCTAGAGTGGTATAATGAACTCCCTAAAGTCTTATGACTATCGGATGAACGATGCTAAACCAAAATCGACTTTTGTTTTTATATACCGTATATACAAAAAAACAAATCGCGCCCTGTCGGGGCGCCACTCCTGCGAATTTGAAATTTTTTTTTTTTGCAGAAACCTTCCCAAGAATATTGTCAACAACTTACTAAAGTTTCATGCCTATCGGATGAACAGTGTCACTGCAATTCACTTTTATAATTTTTGTATACCGTAAATAGAGAAAAATTGGACCCACCGCAATCAACTTTTATTTTTATAAACCGAATCGCTCACTGCCGGGGCGCCATTTTATTTTCGTAGAAACCTCCCCAGGAGTATTCTCAACAACTTTCTAAAGTATCATGGCAATCGGATGAAAGGTGTAGTAATGAATAAAAGAAAAAAAGACACACAGAAATACATACACTGCGTTATATATATATATATATATATATATATATATATATATATATATATATACATATATATATATGTATATATACCTAATCATAATCAGGGATCGTAATATTGAGGAATATATAAATTATTTTAGTGGCACACAAGTTGGGATGTTTTATAAACGGTAACTATTGGCTCTTCCGTCTCAAAGGGTTGCCGACCCCTGGCCTAAGCAAATAAATAAAAGCTAGCCAATAGGTACTTAAAGTGAATGTCTAATTAAGAATTTTCTCGGTAATAATATTACAGCTGCTTGATATAAATGACATCTAATTATTCAATTAATAATTACCAATTAATATGTGTTGTAATTAAAATTTTGTAAATAATCATCAAAAATTTTAAATAATATTTTTGTAATTTAATTTTCTATAATTTACACTAAAGTTAGTTTACTTGTTTTTGCTTGAAAATATATTATTAATTTTTTTCATTTTTTTAATCGTTTTATTTGATAATTATTTCCTTTTAAAAGAAAACAATGTTAGTTTTCTCCCCTAACAAAATAGTTCCAAGCGCGAGTTATTTTGACTTAAACAAAAGACGATAGCAAACTGCTGTGAACTGTGTTACACATTGGTGCTCTCTCGTGACTAACACTAATATTCTGTGTCAATGTTTAGTTCCATATGGTGTGGGGGGAGCTGGTGTGTGATGGAATCTGGAGGTTTTGAATGTTTTGGTGATTATGGTGGAGACTATTTTTGTATCGAGTTTAGATTTGGGAGATAGTGCGATCATTATGGTGTGGGAGAGTTTAGTTTGCGAGAATATAGTATGGGAGAATATAGTGTGGGAGAATTTAGTGTGGGAGAATATAGTGTGGGAGAATTTAGTGTGGTAGAATTTAGTGTGGTAGAATTTAGTGTGGTGGGATTAGTGGACGCATTTTGTGTGTGGTGGGATTAGAAGACGCATTATTTGTGTGGGTGGGATTATTGTACGAATTTTGCGTGTGGTGGGATTATTGGACGCATGTTGTGTGTGGTGGGATTAGTGGAAGCATTTCAGATTTTCTTCACATAGTTTTATTTAATTCGTTACGTATAGTGTATTGCCAATTCAAAGTATAACAACGCGAAATTTGAGTTTAATTTTTGTAAAGAAAAATAATTAAATTACAGGCCAAAATCTAGTAATAATAAAATAACAGGCTAAAATCTAGTTATTTCCCTTTAATGTATTAGTTTGTCTCCCTTTCTGTTCCACGTCATTATTCGTAGGAAGGACGCCCATCACGTAACCTAATTTCTAGGAACATGTCTTTAATTAGAAAAAAAAACAATTTTTTGGATGTCTGTTCTCTTTACATTTAATTGGCTTTTAGAGTGCTCACGCTTCGTGTGATGTTCGACTTACTACATCACTTTAACGTGGTCTTGCCTAAACATTTTTTCCACGTGATCCTACTTTAGGTTAAGTTTATCTTATTTTAGGTCGTAACGTGACACTGACATGACATTATTTTAACGTGATCCGATGTTAAATACTACTACGTCACTTTAAAGTAAATGTGGCGTATATACAAGGTATGGCGTGAGACTACATTTAACCTGATATAACTGACGTGATCCTTTTCGCGGTGATTATGTGATAAATAATTTGAGGCACAAAAATTAAATATAATTCTCAAATAGAATACAAGTTAGTCATACACACGATAGGGGTCTGCGTGGTCGAAAAGTCTCGAGTTCGAACCCTCGGGCAGATGGGGCTTGTTACCTGGGGACAGCCACTCTTCTAGGAGAGACAACTCCAAAATCAAACAACTGCTGTTTTGTAGTTTGTTCTTGGTTAGACAAAGGCTATGGAAGCAAATCCAAAAAAGAAAAGCAGGCTGAAATCGGAATCAACAGCCTATCTGGCGTATAACCAGTCGACACGTATACTTAATTATGCTGGAGGGGATCCCTTCCCACACTAAAATTAAGAACGAAGAAGAAAAGAAGGAACACTCGATAAACTGATCACCACAAGGGCCTTTCTTCATACTAAAATAAACCTAACAAAACTTCAACCTAACATAATACTAACATGAACCTACTATAAACTAACGTAAACCTAACTTGAAGCTAGCATGTGGCTAATATCTATATATATAATTCTCCTCTTCGAGCCGTTAGAAAACAAGCTGCAAACGCTCTCCCTACCTCCCCACCCCTACATGGTTTTAGTGAGCTGTGTTCACTCTAAATGTTTACAAGCAGAGCCAACGATTTTAAACGTAGGGGGGGGGGGGAAGGAAGGGGGGGGGGGGTTATGGTCCTTAACGAGCTACTTATAGTGTTTTAAAGAAATATTTTCAGTGTCAGCGTTGGTACTGTCGAATTCACAAATTATGAATTATTGAAAATTAGAAACAACTAAATAGCGGCGTATGTTATGCCGCGGGCCGGCTCGTGAAACTATAATCTAAGTCAAACATAACATGAACCTAATTTGAACCTAATTTGAACGTAATTTGAACCTATAATGAACCTACCAATGGCCTAAAGGCGGAGTTAACATGAACCTACACTGTAAAAAATTAACGGTTTTTTCTTGTAAATTACTGTTTTTTTTTACAGTAATTTACAGTATTTTTAAAAAACGGTAGCATCTCGTGAATATGGCTAGTCGAATCCCGTTTACCGTTAAAATACGCTAGTCCTATCGCGTAGCCTGTCATAACCTTCGTGGCGGGAGAGTGACTAAAATTAGATAAGCCAGAAACGCCTCGCGTGATTTCAATTATTAACAACAAATAAATATTTTATCTTTAATTTTAAAATATCTGCAAATTATTTTAACTGAACATCAAATTAAACAGTATTATTGAAGAGTTAAGAATATTTTATTTACATGAAAACAAAATTAAAAACCCCAAAAGTAATTAAAAATTCTAGGATAGGCCCCTAAGTCCGAGTAGCAAGTTTATTTCCGTTTCCGACGAAGTCAGCCCACTTCACTTAAGTTTGTCAAAGCGCCATTTTGACATCTCTACTCTCGGCTAACTTCGATTGTTCATCTAAGGAAATCTATTCTACGACATTATCATCTGCATTTTATTTCAACTTCATCGCATTACTACATTCAAGGGAAACTAGACCTGGTATGTCATAATTGTTTCTTATCTTTAAATTTAATAAAAAGAAGTGTGACTTCAGTAACGAATTTTTCACTAGATCTAGCTAGATCTAGCTCTAGAATCTAGATCTAGATCTAGATCTAGTCGTTTTTAACCTGTTAAACAATAAACAGTACTTTAACTCTAGATCTAGATCTATATCTAATCTATAAAGTACAAGAAAATCTGTGATACTTTTTTTTTTAATTTTGTGAAGGAATTTGTTCTCATTTATCTTGTCTACAGTTTCTTGTTCATTTTTTTGTGTCGGTTTTGAATTTGACTGTTTATATTATAGACCATCTCAACATTGAGTTGATGGAGGCCATTGTAGAATCAATCAAAGCTGCTTTGTCTTTAACTGATGAGGATACCCTTATAAAGATTAAAGATCTCTTGACACAAATTGGAGTTACATGTTTGGCTGACCTGATTCTTGTGAAAGAGGGTGACTTGACACCTGTGCTGAAAATCATCCAGGCCCGGAAACTAATCAGCTTCTGGCAAACGACTGAAGGTAATGCATTTTCTTATTTATTTATAATTAAAAGATTATCACAATGATTTTAATATAAGTTTAATAAAGTTAACTGGACAAACATTCAAATGCATTTCCTTTATTTGGGCCTTCCCAATCTTTATTTAATGTTTAAATGTTCAAATTATTTTGGGAAATAAATTGATGAATAATTTAGATTACCAACGTTTGTCCTGCCTAGGTGTTATAACAACGATAAAATATTTTTAGGGTTTTTTTGCCATTATTGATTCCTCTGCATTTTTCTTTTTTTTACCTATTGTTCTTACATACACTTTAATGTTATTTTCCTTTCTTGTTATTACTTAAGATAATTTTTTCTATGGATTATCTTTTTTATACTTTCATTTTTAAACTATTGGATAGTCCTGGTCTTTTCATATGCCCTTATTATTTTTCTATGAAAAATAGATTTACATTTCTTACTCAGTAATTAATTCAATTTTAGATCACTTACTTTATAAATAAGTTTATTGTATATTTATCAAATGAAAAAAAAAGTACTAGATCTAGATGTAAGCCACAGCAATAAGCCTCATGGACACAGTGTAAACCAAACTAATAGTATTTTGTTAAATTAAAAAAAATTATAAAGCCATGCAACTATAACTGAGTGTTATAAAAAACAACAATTTGGTGGTCTTAATTTCAAGTGTCAGATTATAGTAAACTCTATAACATTTTAGGCCAACTTTGGCGTAGCTCATCTTTTTATTTCTTCAAAGAAAGTCTAAGACATGTGGGTTTCATAAGACTGTGTGCCATATATTATCCCTATTCTGTTCATCCATGAGTGAATTTATTTACTACTAACTGATAAATATTATTTACATTCACAGCTCCTGTTCCCTTTGCAGTCATACAATCTGCAGTGCCACATGCAGTGCAGCCAACTACACCTCCTGCTTCGACCTCGAGTGATAGGCAGCCACGTGAAGTTGTGACACATTTTCGAGAATGGGATTACGTGTTCGAAATGCCCTGGAACAGGCTGCCAAGTGCTCTCTCTCGGGTGATAGAGGAAAGGAAAAGGCCATCTCCACAACAGCGGCGAGAATTCGTTAGGATTGTGGTTGAGAGGATAGTGTCCAGTGGATTTCTTAACCCCACTCGCACACAAATAAGTGAGGTGTCAAGTAGCATTGTGAGGATGCACTCAGAGTCCTTCTGCGACATGGGTGATGCAGATGTTCCACGAGGCAGTGGTTACTATTCACTTGCCCGCCAGCTTAAATCAAGAGTGGAACCACTGAATAGGGGGAACAGCACCAACCGTGGGAGGGCACCTCGTCGTTGCCTCCAACCTCAAGGTGAAGAAGCTGAAGTGGAGGAAATCGCCCCTCAGCAAAGACAGGTGAGCCATGCATGCCTCAATGGAGGCGGGGCAACTACATGCATCACAGGTGCAATTGCAAGCCTCCTATGCTGAGAACGGGCCGCTAGGTTGTATGGACGCAGATATTATGTGCCATGTCAGATACATATCCAGGCGTTCTTCAGAAAAAGTGCCGTTTCTCCCAGTGTACACACTTTAATAAAGATGGTAACAGATTTTGAGTGGGGACTTTAGATTCATTGTTTGGAATTAATGGTCTATTATCATTATGATTGAAGAGTACCCTTTTTTGTGTAAATATGTTTACTTTTTTTGTACTAATTGACAAACACTGATATAACTTATTTGACATTTCTGATTTAAAAGAAACTTTCTTCGCCAACTTTTGAAATAAGTATTTTAAATATGATCTATCAAATTGTGTGTGTCCTGTTTATGATATATGCCTATATTATGAGTAAATTAATTATTCCTCTAATAAGTTCTCAGTTGTATAAATTTTTGCCCTATTATTCTTATTTTGTAACAAAAATTAAAAAATCTCATCATAGGCATTAGGTAATTATTGTCTGTAAGATGATGTTTGTGCATTTTATTGAAGGGTACTACTTTCTTTCTGGTTAATTTTTAAATACTGACAAATGTAATGTGTATTATTTTACTCTTAGCAGGAGTTCAAACTAATGATATATATATATATACAAAAATACATGTTAGTCAGTTCTTTCATAGAATTATTTAAAAAGAAAGTTTATAATCAAGTCAGTTTCTTTAAAGATGCATTGATTTAGTGCTGTTGATTTCTTTCATTTATTAGTAAATATGTAAGAACTTGGTGGGTTTTTTATCTGTCTTTAATGATTTTTTAAAAATTGAATAAGTAACTGCAAGTTTTTTTAATACAGATATAACTTTATTTGACATTTATTTATTTCTGAAGTAACTTTACTTGCTTTTTTTATTTAATAAAGTAGGGCCTTTTTTAGATATCATCTGTCACTTTTAAAAAATGTTCATGTCTTATTTGTTATATTATGAGTAAATTGATCGCTTTCTCTTTTTTTAAAAGTTTTATAGACTTTTCTTATATACGAAGTATAGAGAAAGTCTTGTAATCGTGCAAAAAAAAAATCGAGATTTTTACAAATCTCGACGTTTTACACCTCAGTGATACGGAAAAACATAATTTTGCAATCTTTTCCGTATGTCTGTGTGACTGTCTGTCTGTCTGTGTGTGTGTGTCCGTGTGTAAACACGATAACTTGAGTACCGTTACAGCTAGGTTGATGAAATTTCATATATAAGTATTTTATCAAAATCGTAGATCCGTATCAACTTTTGATCGATTTCCAATTAACGGAAGTGGTACTTTTCCTACTTTGTATTTTTCAAAAGCCTATAACTTGAGTACTATTTCAGATAGATAAATGAAATTTCACATGTAAGCAAAAGATCTAATTCTCTACCTTCTTTTAAATTTTGAGTAATTTCCGTTGACAGGAAGTAGTAATTTACGCTACTTCCGATTTCTCAAAAAAAATAATGTAAATTTTAAAAGTACTAATAGTATTGCACGCTATTATGCGCTTTTTTATTTGACGTTCACTTTGTGACCTACTTAGGTCTGGGAATGTTTATTTTTACATTTGGCTTTAATACCATATATGGTCTGTGGTACAAAGACCGGTTTTTTCTGCTGTCTTACTAAGAGAGTCTTAGACTCAGAAATTTTCCATCAAGATATGATTGATTGATTCAGACCATATGACCTCCCCAACCAATGGTCTTATGAGTTGAAGGTGACCTTCCATGTTACCTAAGTCTATAAATAGACTGCGCACAGGCGTCTCAGGGCAGTCTTTGGTCAGACGTCGTTGAGAGTTGATAAGCCCTGTGTGTTGCCGTGTAGTACTAAGTTGTTTAAGTAGCATATTATCATATTACTTGTGGTTAAGTAATTCTTTATGCTTATAGCAGTGATGTGTATTACTGTGGTGATTTTCTGAAGTGTTAAAAGCTGTGATAGTGTATCATATTATTTTTTCCCACGATTTGTAAGTAGGGTTTTGATCATTCTGTAAATCCATTTTATTCTTGTATAAATCTAGTGTTCTGCCACGACTTTGTACACTCATTACAAGTTATATGCAGATTAAATGTATTGTTGACATCAGTAGTTTCTCTAGTGTTTCCCCTAGACATCAATTACGAGTCCTAGCGAACTAGTGAGTTAACTTTCTTTTATTTAGGCTTGTCGCCTTCTGTGCATAATTAGTTAAACGAATCCGGGAGCGTTCGCCATCTATCTGGTTGATAGATTGGTGTCCGTTACAACTTGGTGTGCAATTAATTTGTCTACGAGATTTTATTCTATTTTTAAAACTTTAAGTATTTAAAATGGATTAAAAATCATGTCTATAGCCCGAGTTCCCATCCCCTGTTACTTTATATAAGAATATTCGAGAAAGTTTAGGGGAGATCACTCCCGGTTTATTTATTTTTTGGTTTCTAGCGTCTTTTTCACGTTTTTACGGTGGGGCATTCTTCAGTAAATAAGCAGATATATTCAGGGGTCGGCAACCTGCGGCTCGCGAGCCGCATGTGTCTCTTTTGATGCCAAGGTGCGGCTCCCCAGATTCTTGCACAAATATTAAGTTATTTTGTTTTCAAAACTCATAACAAAAATTATACTGAAAAGAAACGCAAGTTGAAACTGAAGAAAAAAACTCATCAGAGAACATTGCGAATATGTGCACTAAAAAGTTTTTGAAGAGCCGCTTGGGCACCAGGCCCAGCCCCACAGCAGTGTTGTGGATAGCCCCGTGACAACAATTCCATTCTTGCCACTGCCAAAGTGCCGACTTTTACGAATATCGTTAAAAGGGGGAATGCTATTTTATTCAGAACTAGCGTACCCGACCCCCGCGCGTTGCCGCGGGGATAGAAGAAAGTTTGACGAAATATATTAGGATTTCACCAACGCGTTATCAATTATAATTATATGCTCTTAGAAGCGTGACCTTCTTTTCTAAAAATGAGTTATTTAAATGTAAACAATGCCTGTTCTTGGATCATAAATATCAGGACACGGGTTTACCTACACTACGGCATGAAAACCTTGAGTGTACATTAATCACTCACCGAAATAATATGGTAACACACTTCGGTGACCGCCTCTGTGTCAGAGCGTAGAGGGGCGTTCTCAGGGCCCCACCCCCCCCCCCCCCCGTTTACACTACCGCATAGGCGCGGCGTACGACCCCTGGCTCCTTAAAAGTAATAGGCGCCATCGTGCTAAATAGCATCCTGTTAATAATGATGCAGATTTCATCATTCGCTAAAGTGCCACAAATGAACAGGCTTTTTTTCTTTAACACGTAAAAAAAGTATTTGACGTGTTTTAAACATCAGTTCGACTAATGCAATATGCTAGCGTTACTAATGGTGTATTATTAGATGCTCGATCTCAATTACTGACTGTATTGTCTAATAGTAGATGCTTATTGCATCATTCGCAAAGTGACGAAACTCTACAGTAGGCTCTCAAAAAGTTATTTTTTCATCTTTCGCAAGGTGACGAAACCTTCGCGTTACAAAGTTATTTTTAGAAGCCTGTTGTAGTTTTATCGCTGAATATAGTAGTACACCTTACTCGCTATGCAGGACGCTCGATTAACGGATGCCAAGTGCCAACATAGTCGCTCTAAAACTCTGGGCGCCAAACCGTTGTTGACGAAAATTGTACCCTCCATGGCGCCGCCCATAAGAAATTTTAGGTGTTTTTTTCACAGAAATATTCTCGAGATTATTCTCATCTACTTTCCAAAGTTTTATGGCACTCGGATGAACCGCATTCGAGTTTTATTTTTATAAACCGTATATGGTGAAAAATCGCAACCTCCCGTGGCGCCGCCCTTGCGAAATTAAAAAGGATTTTTTTTACAGAACCCTTCCCTGAAATGCTCTAATCAACTCCTCAAAGTTTGACGGCGATTGGATGAACAGTGTGAATCTGCAATCGACTCTTATTTTTTATATACCGTTTATAGAGAGAAAACAAATCGCGCCCTACCGGAGCGCCACCGCTGCGAATTTGAAAATGTATTTTAAGCAGAAACCTCCCCAGGAACATTCTCAACATATTCCCAAAGTTTGATGGCGATCGTGTGAACGATGTCACTGTAATTCACTTTTATTATTTTTATATACCGTATATAGAGAAAAATCGGACCCTCCCGTGGCGCCGACCTTGCGAAATTAAAAAAGGATTTTTTTTACAGAACCCTTCCCTGAATTGTTCTAATCAACTCCCCCAAAGTCTCATGGCTATCGGATAACGGTGTCACACCAAAATCGACTTTTATTTTTATATCTATATATATAAAAAGCAATGTATGTCTGTGTGTGTGTGTGTGTGTGTCTGTGTGTCCTTTATGCATTACTACACCTCTCATCACATCGCCGTGAAACTTTGGTAAGTTGTTGAGAATATTCCTGGGGAGGTTTCTGCGAAAAAAAAAATTTCAAATTCGCAGGGGTGGCGCCCCGGCAGGGCGCGATTTGTTTTTCTCTATATACGGTATATAAAAATAAAAGTCTATTTTGATTTCTCACTGTTCATCCGATAGCCATGAGACTTTGGGGAATTCATTATACCACTCTAGGGAAGGGTTCTGTAAAAAAAATAATTTTCAATTTCGCAAGGGCGGCGCCACGGGAGGGTCCGATTTTTCTCTATTTACGGTATATAAAAAGAATAAAAGTGAATTGCAGTGACACCGTTTATCCGATAGGCATGAGACTTTGGGGAGTTCATTATAAAACTCTAGGGAAGGGTTCTGTAAACAATAATTTTTAATTTCGCAAGGGCGGCGCCACGGGAGGGTGCGATTTTTCTCTATATACGGTTTATAAAATAAGTCGATTTTGGTGTGACACCGTTATCCGATAGCCATGAGACTTTGGTGGAGTTGATTAGAACAATTCAGGGAAGGGTTCTGTAAAAAAAAAACCTTTATTAATTTCGCAAGGGCGGCGCCACGGGCGGCTGCGATTTTTCTCTATATACGGTTTATAAAATTTCGTTGTTTTTT